AGAGATGGCTGAGCCTGATGCTTAAAGGGAAGCTCTTGGCTCTTGCACAGAGCAGGGAGATGCAAGGACCGCTGTGCTGGGAGCTGTAGCAGGGAGTTCAGCTCTGACCAGAAAAGGAGGCAGTGTCCAAGAATCACCACCAAAAAAACCCACAGAACTATTTTTATGTTTTCAGGACTTTTTATGGTGACATGTTGCTCTTGCTCAGGCCATGTCAGCCCCTCTGTTCCTGAGGCTCGTAGCCAGCAGGAGGCTTCGGGAACATATCTTTATCCTCGCCACCTCACAAGCACAATAAACCCTTAAATGTCGTTTCAGGTGATGCAAACAGGACATTTTCATACTTTTATTTTTAACGTATCAGTTTTCCTCTTGCAAGCTTTTTATGTCAGTCATCTCTCCTTAGCCTGCTTCTGCCAGGAAGTCTCTGTCCCACAGCACTCTGATCTCTTGTCTTGCAGTGTCTCTAGATTTTCCTGTATTTGAGTTATTGGCGTGCATGGATGTCCTATTTGTCTCTGCTGGAGCAGAGTCTCCTGGCAGAGGGACTCTGCATATTGTGGAGAACCTTGAGCACTGGCAGATGTTTGAAGATTGCTATTTTCTGGCCCTTATATTTATTAATTTTCTTCTGTAGTCCCACCTAGATTACTTTCAGCAGTTCCCTCCCCTAAAATGTAGCGTGACTATCTGACAAAGCCAGATTTTTGGCAGGCTGTGAGCCTTGCTTGTAACTGCCATAACCTCACTAGGGTCATGACACTGCTTGGAGAYGGCTGTGCCAGGGCTGTAATCCTAGGCATGGCATAGGAAGGAGCTCTGCCCTTGTAGGAAAGCTTTCTGGTTTATGTACATTTAACTCTCTCCAGTAATACATGCAAAGTGCACACAAGCTCCTCCACATGGCCTCCTATGTTGTGGATGAGCAGCGTTTTTTTTTGGTGTTTAACCCCAAACCTCTCCTGAGCAACCTAAACCTCTGGCTTTCAACCTTTTTAAYGCTTGAACCCTTAAAGCTTTCCCAAAGGGCAGATTGAGTTCTGTACAGAAAACCAAAATGCACCAAAGGTTGACTTGTTTTTTCCATTGTTGCTTTCATGAATGTCTTAAATGTAGCATATGAACCATAGACCAAAAAGCCACCGATTTGAGCTCAACTGAAAAAAAAAAAGGTCACTCCTTTTTGTGTCTGCATGGCAGGTTGTGCTGGTTTAACTATTCAGTTTGTGTTACAGCTTCTCTGAGGAAGAGGGAGAGAGAAAAGAAAGGAAACTGCTGTGTAGACAAAGTCAGGTTGCTGAGATATCTAGGGGAATAATCTCCCTGAACAAAATCTGCTGTTATCCTTGTGCAATGCCAGGGAAACTGCATGTATAAACAGAGGTGGTATTTGTCTTACTGTCACTTTCGCCTTGGATAAAGAGGTGATAATGGTAACGCTTTACCACCCTGTCAGGCAACTTAATTAGTGCCAGTGCTGTGATTTAAAGTTTTAAGCATCAAGTATTGTTTGATACTTGAAAGCCACCTTTTTTAAAAGCAGTGCCGAAAAGCCCCATGCAACCTCAGGCCACTGTTGCAGTAGCCTCTAACGAGAAAAGAGGGATGTTGTGAACAAAGCTGGTAAAGSATGAGTGAAAATGCAACATATATGGGTAAAGGATGTGCTCTGGAATGATGCCCTTGGAGCCTGCGATGGAGCTGGAGACTAAACCCACATTTTCTGAAGCACATCCTGGAGGGAGCCCATGACCAAACTCATCTTTGCTAATGATGCTGCTAATGGATTTTCTTCACAGGGGGTTTGTAATCTGTTGTAGCTGCTATGTGTACGTGTTCTCCATAGCMTATCTCTTTTCTGGAGCAGAAAGGGAACCTTTATTCAGAGGGGTGGTGCTTTCCACAATCATTTCTGACTCATCTGAGATTTCTTGTAAACTTTTTATGTTGTGATACAGGGAGAAGAGTAAGGATCCCAAAGTAGATTAGTTAGAGGCTGCTTTCTGGCTGGGAGCTGGTTAAGGAGGCATGAAGAAGTGTATCTGAAAGACAGGGGGAATGGAAAATGATTCTGGCCTTGCAAGTGGAGAATGGAAATGCTTGGTGCTGTCTGGAGCAGTTTTCCACTGTTCGTTTTACTTCCCCTTAGCAAAGAGCTAACCCCTTCAGGCTATCTGGCCCTAGTGACTTCATTTTGGCTAAATAGCACTGCCCCAGAGCTATAGAAATACGTGTCGTGGTATCGATATTCACCATAAAACAAACCCAAGTGTCATTTATAAGGCAGTAAACTCACTTTAGGGCCTTCTGCAGTTGTCATTACGTGTTTCCTCTACGGGAGCCCAGACAACTTATGCAGCTGGGAGAGAAGGATGCAGTAAAGTGGGGTGGGTGCGGAGAAACCCCCAAGGAGTAAATATGCAGAAAACATTTGGAGTATTGCAGGCAAGCCAAGTTTTCCAGCTGCGGTGGAGTGACTAGGTTATCCTGGAGGACATCCCTAGGAGCTCAGATACAGCTGGGCTCTTCATTATCCCTTCTGTGTCTCTGCACTTCCCTCCACGCTCCAGCAATGGCAGAAAGGAAGAATTGCCCAGCTTGAAACTTGCAGGGGAAATGCTGGGCTGGCAGTGGGGGGGTTTCTTCCCTCCCTCCTGCAGCCAGGTCCCAAACTTGCCACACCTCCCCGTACACTCCATGCAGGAAGGATGGAAGTTAGGAAAATGATCCCCTCTGTTTGCGTAGCAGGAACTGAGGAATGCTGGATTGCGACTTGCTCAGGATTACACAAGAAATCTCTGGTGAAACAGTGTTGGCTGTGCTTTCAGAGTCCCACTGGGTGCTAGGAGCATATGACCTTCTTCCCTAAAAGAAATCCATCTTTCTGTTAAGAGAAAGAAAGAGTGGGGCTCATAGTCTATTTTTGCCTTCCTGTAACAAAAACAAACAAACAAACAAACAAACAAAAAATTTGGGAATGTCAAAGATTTGCCTTCCCTAGATTTGGTTGATTTTTTTTTTTAATTATTACTTTTATTTTTAATGAAAATGAATTGGAACAGTTGGTTGAAAGACAGCCTTCTCAGTACACAGGTCTGATTTCTTTCCAAGGTTGCTCACACTGACTTGTTTCTCTAATGCCCTCCACAACATATTAAGTGGGTTGTAAGACAGCAAGGTCCAGGGAATAGTTGCATGATAAGACTATCTCCATCTCCCCTGGTTGCTTGTTTCCATGGGCTGGTCTCCTTCYCCTCCTTTTGGGCGTTGAGGCCCAAAGCTTTTAGTTGGGGTAGGTCCAGTCAGGCAGGAACAAGACACCAGACAAGACCAYTGCACTCTCCAAAAAGCAACTTTTATTCCATGTTTTGTGATTGTGAAGAAGGAATTTCGATGTAGTTAATGAAACTCTGCAGTGTATGCCTGTGACTAGACGTCTACCCTGTCACAGCAAAGTTGGTCCGTGCCTGTGATCAGTCACCAAAGGATCTTTCTGGGCTCCGTAGCTCTTAGGGCAGATACTGCCCTCTCAGTCCAAGTCCTTGGCAGTCAGTCTATTCTTTATCTCTTTTAGCCTCTTTCACTTTTGTATAAAATACTGCTTTTCTCTATGCTGTGGCCAGTCGCATGCTGCTATTTCTGTTGGTTTAAAACATTGCCAAACCTAAATTTCCCGTGCAGTTTGACAGTGCCAGGATCGAGCCTGGCAGACGTGGTAAGGAATGAGCAGTGCTCGGGATGGAGCAGGGAAAAGAGCAGCCGTGCTGCAGCCTGCTCCTGCACCAAGCACCGAGACATGGAGCAAGAGGAGAAGCTCCCAGCCTCAGGAGCAAGAAGGGGGCCCTTCTCTTCCCGCCTCTGGTTTTCACTCTTTTCYCAGTTTCTGCCATGCCAAAAGGAATGGTTGATCCAATGCCTGCCATGGAGGGCAAGCTGCTCAAAAATTGGCACGTAAAGCCCAATTGCAATCTTAACAAATCTTTCTTTAGTCACTTGTCTGGTGTGTTAAGCCTTTTTTTTAGTAAGTCAGATTTTAATTGTCTGGTCTTTGTACAAAGTCATTGAGGACATACAGCAGTCCAGGTTGGGGCTCTACTTTATCACAGGCTTCCTCTCCAGGCAGAGCGATTTCTGTTGGTTTTTTTTTTTTTTTTTTTTTTTGTCATCGAGGAAGCTCAGATTATTTCTTGGCTGTGATTAACACTGAGAATGTACCTTCTTTAGAACAAATGTTATTTATGCAATAAAGTTTTTCTGCTTGATCTTGCTGCTGCTTCTTTTTCCTTTGCAACTCAACCTTAAGGCTAGCACTTACACGTTCTTTACTGAAATTATTATTTTTTTAACAGTTTTCTTGGGCGTGTTGACTCCCCTGACTTTGTAAAAGGAAGGAGAAAGAGGAAGGGAAACCAAAAACCATGATTTCCATCTGCAGGTGGGTGAGAGGATGTTGGGCCATGACTGAATCCTTGCTGATGTTGACCTGGGCAGGGATCAGGGGCCGCCAAACTTCAATGGTGGCCCTTGCTGRTGCACCTGCGCTACAGCAGCTCCCSTGGTACCCAGGCAGCACGTGGGAGCGGGAAGCGGCCCCAGCTGTGCCCCGAGAAGCCGCCGTGCCGGCTCCGGCACCCGCTGCTGCTTCGCTAACTGCGAGGGGCTGCGAGCGCGGGGCGGCCGTTACGCTCCTCCACCCCCGCCCCGCGCGCGGCGACCGTTACGCTCCCCCCGCCCCGCGCGCGGCGACCGTTACGCTCCCCCCCGCCCCTCGCGCGGCGGCCGTTACCGCTGCCGCGCGCGCGGCGGCCGTTGGTGGCGGCGGGAAGGCGCGGCGAGAAGGTGCGCCCGCCCGGCGAGGGCAGGGCCGGGCCGCCCGCACGGCTCCTCCCCGGGCTCCGCGTGTGAACGGGAGGATCCCAGCCCCCTTCCTGGCGGCAGTGCGGAGAGGAGCGCCCGGAGGAGGAGGAGGACCGGCTGCAGCGCCTCCCCTCTTCCCCGCCTCCCGCCCCGCCGAGCGCAGCGCCCCGAGCATGGAGCCTGCCTGAGACGCTCGGCGCGCTCCGGCAGCTGCTGCTGCGGCACAACATGGAGGCGGCGCCGCCGCCGTTCCCGCGGCTCCCGCTGCTGCTGCTGCGGCTCCTGGCCGCCTCGGTGCTTCGGTGCGAGCCGGGCTCGGCCGGAGGTAGGTCCCGCGGCGGCGGGGAGAGCGCCTCTGCCCCTTTTGTTGTCGGACTTGGGCAAACTTCCCCCGAGCGGTGCCGGGCGGCGGCGGCCGGAGCCCCCTCCGGGGCAGGGGCCGCGGGGGGAGGACGCGCACATGCACGGCGCGGGACGAGCCGCGTCTCGCGCGGGGAGGGCGTTGGGCGCGTCCCGTCTTCTCCCCCAACTCAAACTTCTCCTGCCCCCCCTCCCTTTTTTTTTTTCTTTTTTTCCCCCTCTCAGAGGGGGCACGCGGTCTCCCCTCCCCCTCGCCTCGGGGGCACGTCCCGGCAGGGAATGCGGGTGCAAAGCCACTTGTCCCCCCCGCCCCGTGCCGGCGGTGCCCCTTTCTGGTGAAGGCGCAAGAGTTGCAAAAGGGAGACAAAAAGTTGTGCGTGTCGCCCCCCCCCCC